TAAGTATATTCACTCATTTTGTATAGCGATGTTATTATCCTTCTCATCTTCTATTACCCCCTCTTATTGGTATTATTATTATTATTATTATTATTATTATTATTATTATTGTCTATGGAAATTTTCAGTCATCCAGGTGGTCCCAAAAGTGCTTTTCGGTGGTCCCAAAGGTGTTTTTTTCAAGAGGCAACTGGACTTTCTGGTTTTTCTTTGAAACCATTTTGCTTCTCATCCAAGAAGCAAAACTTTCAGAGTTGAAGAAGCTTTTTCAATGAGAAACAAAGTGTCTTTAAAAACAAACAAACCAGAAAGTCCAGTTGCACCTCTGGGACAATATTACTCTGTTGCATTGCATTGTACACTGAGAGCTTCTGCACCAGAGACAAATTCCTTCTGTATATAATCACACTTGGCCCAATAAAGTCTCCTCCCCTCCCTTTCCCTCCTTTCCCCTCCCCTATCCCATCCCATCCTATCGAAACAAAAGGGTGGTGCTAGATAATGCTAGAAATCTAATTGCTCCAATTGCTCCTTTCCAAAAGTGGTTGTCCAGAGGCTTCAGTGAACCTTATGAACAGTGCATAAAATGACTGTTCATTCCCAGTAACAGATGGTGTTACTGTTCAATATAATACTAGTCAATACATTTCATTCTTTTACTTAATCATCCTTTAAATCTAGTCATTGCACCTTTTCTAGGAAAAAAAATCTTAGAAATTTGCTATGTCCTGTCTGAAAAATGTACTTTCTACAGTCCAAAATGAGTTCCCAATTTCACTAACCCTTAATTTTACTATTAAGGGGGGTGAGTAATGACTTATACTCACATACTTTATTTATTTATCATTTTATAAACTGCTATCAAATTCCTGAATGATATTTTTCTTCCCGGATTAACAAACTCCAAAGGTTTACCTTTCCAAATTTTCAGTTCATCGTTAATAACAGAAGTTCTATACCAGCTTACAGATGCTAATGTAGATTTGTTTATAAATCTGGCTTTTAACAGTTGGTTCACAGGTGGTATTCAGCAGGTTCTGACCAGAACTGGTAGCGGAAATTTGGAGTAGTTCAGAGAACCGGCAAATACCTCTGACTGGCCCCGGCCCCATCTATTCTCTGCCTCTTGAGTCCCACCTGATTGGCTGGGTCTTCTTTTGTTGCCCTGCACAGGAGAACAGAGATGGAAAGTAGGTTAGTGGGTGAGGAGGGAATGGGATTTTGCAGTAACCTTCCCCTGCCATACCCACCAAGCCAAGCCATGCCCACCAAGCCACGCCTACAGAACTGCTAGTAAAAAAATTTGAATCCCACCACTGAGTTGGTTGTTTCCAATATTTGACTAACACTTGGAAAGTATCTCTTAAGGCAGGGATTCCCAACCTCTGGACCTATACCTGGTACCGTTTACTCTGTACTGGTACTGGTACTGGTCCATGGCCTGTTAGGATCCTAACATGAACTGTTAGGAACCAAGCCTCACAAGCAATAGGTGAGCCAGCAAAGCTTCACCTGCACGTCCGTGAGATCTAGGTTGCACGCAAAATTCCCACACCCCAATCCATGGAGGACAATTTTTCTTCCAAAATGGGTCCCTGGTACCAGAAAGATTGTGGACCGCTTGATCGCAGGATGACATACCCAGGACTACCTGAAGCTTTAGTGCAGTCATCACTGCTGAGGTAAATGAAATGAATGTTTGTAGCAATCCCAGTATTTTTAACAGATTCTGTTAACAGAATAGAATTCTAATTTAACAGAATAACACAAAATATAAAACTATTTTTTTTTAATTAGACAAGATGGTGAAGCTCCAGAATGGATCCTTTCTCAAGGAAGCCAGAAAGCTTTCTTCATAAAGCAACGTTGTTATTTCAGGCTGTAGTTTCATAACAGTACAAAATAGCCTAGGAGAAATGTATCAGAAATGTGTTGGTGTTAATATGTCTCCAACAATTGCATTAAAGGTTGTGCAAGGTGGGTTTCAAAAAAGGGGAGATTTCTTTGGAGCAAAGGTAGAAATAAAGCGTTATTAAAGCTCACCAGAAGCAGAGTGACATCCTGAAGGAGAAATACTGCTGTTTGGAGGCTTTAGCAACAGCTCTTAAAGGGAGAAAATATTCATTAGGAAAAGAGCAAAGTGATGGATGAATTTACTGTACAGGCTGGACAGGAGGATGTTGGCTGGCACACAGGATATTGATCCACAAATGGAGGGAGGGCATTTGTATAGCAACAGAAAAAGCTTCTAGGGATTCAAGGGCTTCCTAGCTTGCAATTCTTCTCAAGCCCAAGGGAGCCTTCTGTCACCATGACAGAAGATGCAGACCAGCTGAGCTCTAGCGCTCTCAAGAATAGACCAGTTGGGCTGTTTCTCTGCAGAGCAGACGCTTCCACACACACAGGAGGAAGAAGAACGGTGATTTTAGCACTTGCAAGCCTTACTTGGCAGACGCTCAGGCTGCAATCCCACGTAACTGAGACTAAAATAAGTTCCATTTAAATGCCCAACTCTTACTTACTTCAGAGCAGACGTATTAGGGTTGGAAGTGATAATGAGGGTCTTGATCTAAGGTCATCTTCACTGCTTTTCTGTCCTCCCCTCCTCTCTCAAGTTCTCACAACATAATTGGCTGTCCTATTTTAATTTAGCTTTCCGGGTGCAGTGAGTGACTTGCTGCAATGGAAACATTGCATGTTTGTGATATTACAGTGCATACATCCTGTAGATTCCTTCACTCTCCAAGCATAAAGAAATACACAGACTTCTTATATGAACAAACCTTTCTTGCAGCTTAGTTTATGATTGCTTGTTCAACATCCCATTATATTATTCATTATCCTTATTGTATGGGCATAGAATTACCACTTTGGAAAGCTATATTCAAGAATATGTTCTAGATCTCATTGAATGTAACATTCTTAATGTAATTATCAAAAAGGGAGAGAGGGTCAAGTAATGATTCTATTGTTATCTTCAAAATTCAATTTATTCCTCAAGCTGTCTTCATGTACTGAAGCAGCTCTCTTTTGGGTAGGAGGTTTTCACGTATTTATTTTGTTTTATATTAATTGGTTGCATAAATCTTAAGTGCTTCTATATTTGAATAACTACTCTACTGCCAAGACTTTCATTTATAGGACTGTTTAGAAATCTGTACTGCATTTAACTGTTAATATTACTGTATAGTATAGCAAATATTATGAATATATTTTGTTACATGAATTTAGCTAGTTTAGCATATAAAATGTTATGTTTTTATGGAATGTCTCTTCTTTTTTTACATATAACAATTTTATCTACCCTTCTGTCAAACTTTTTTTCCCCTTTTTTTGATGACTTCAAATCAGGTTAATTCCTGGGGGCTGCCTGGAAAAATCTCAGCAATTTTCTTGGCAAGATTTTGGAAGTAGCTTACCATTGCCGGATTCCTAGGGCTGAGAAAGAATGACTGGCTCAAAGCCATCCAGCTGGATTTGTGCCTAGGACAGGACTAGAACTCAGGTTCTTAGTTTCTAGCCAGTGTTTTAACCACCACATCCAGCTGGTTCTCATCAGAAGATCACTACAGATAGTCCTCAACTTATGAACAAAATTGAGCCCAAAGTTTCTGTTGTTAAATGTTGTTAAAAGAATTTTGCCCCATTTTATGACCTTTCTTGCCATAGTTGTTAAGTGAATCCCTGCAGTTGGTAAGCTAGTAACATGGTTGTTAAGTGAATCTGGCTTCCCAATTGACTTTCTTGTCAGAAGATCGCAAAAGAGGATCACATGACCCCAGGACACTGCATCCGTCATAAATATGAATCTGTTGCCAAAGTCTGAATTTTGATCACATGCTCATGGAGATGCTGCAACAGTTATAAGTGTGAAAAACAGTCAGAAGTCACTTTTTTCAGTGTTGTATCTTCAAACAGTCACTATATGAACTGTTGTAAGTCGAGGACTACCTGTATTATTTAATTTGTTCCTAAAGGTTCCAGAACAGAGATGAACAGCAAAAATCTTGGTGGATAATTTAGAATAAAAAAGGCATACCCAACTGAACCTTAAAACATTTCTGAACATTTTCTCCAGTCTGTGGAAATGGGTAATAAGATGGGAAAAGAGATTCAGAATTCAGAATAATTCTGAATAGTATATTTGTAATATATTGATAAAGTTGGCATTATAGTAACTTCATCTGAATGAAATATTGGGGTTGTGGTAGAATGCTGAATGCAAGGACAAAACAAGATCACGTCTATAGTTGGAATGATTAGAGAACAGATTCTTGACAGTACGGTACAGGATCTGTCTATTATATCCTATCTTGAAATGCGGGAAAGTCACTCCATCTCAAAAAGGATTTATTTGTGCTAGAAAAGGTGTCACACAGAACAATAAAAATGGCCAATAGGTTGTCATGTTGCAGGAGGAAAATAATGTATCATATTCTGACCTTGCTTTAAAAGAAGATTGCATTGGTAAGAAAAAAAAATGACCATACAAAACGTGGGGAAAGAGGAGAGTAATTTTCTTTATATTTCTTTATATATTTTCTTTATATTCATTCCTTTATATTGCTACCTGGTTTGTAGCAATTGTACCGGTCGGGACAGACAAATGGGCGAAACGTGTTTCTTTCCACCCTGGAGATGAGGTTACTATCTCGAGATCCTAGCTGTCATAGACCTTACATCGAGTCTAGTCATGTGCTTATTTCTTAAGATTCCTACTTCACGGATAGAAAAGTCATAAACTTAGGATCTTTTCTTCCCCAAAGATGGGAATCGTTTCAATTGTAGGCCGGGGGGGGTAGTGGGTGGGCGGAGGTGGACCGACAACTGTGGAAAGAATAAATGAACATGTCCCTCTCGTTTTTTTATCGCTTTTCTTGGCATGCGCAGAGGAAAAGCGCCATGAGCTCGGGAACTACATTTCCCGTGGTGCAAGGAGCAAGGCGCACATGCGCAAGATGTCGCCGCCGGCGGGGAGGGCTGCGCGTTCTCGTGCGGTGATGGCGGTGCGTGGACGCGCGGCGGTAGTAGCAGCAGTAGCAATGGCTGCTGTGGATCGGCGGCTGCCGAATCTCGATGACTTCGCCGGGCAGAGCTGGAGTGCTTGGGTGGAGAGAGTTGGGCCGCCTACTACCGAGACAGGTGAGCGCGCCTATCCCGCTAATTAACCTTTAGGCAGCGAGGAGCGGCGTAGGGGGGAAGCAGAGGGGACACTTCTCAGTCGCCGTTTCTGCTTCTGCCGCCGCCGCCGCCGCCGCCGAGCTTCCTCCCTCCCTCCCTCTCTCTCTTCCTCCCTCCCTCCCTTCGCCCGCCCTAAACAAAGGAGCCGCCGGGTCCTAGCGCCGTGGAAGTTCTTGCTTGATAAATGCTTCTTTTTGCAAAACCAGGTTTCCCGAAATCTCCAGAATTCCTAGCATGGATCCCACTGTCGAGCCTGATGTAATTGGAGGATATGCTGTGATCATCTTGGGGCCGATCAGAATCTTTGTTCCCCGTAGTTTCCACACATACCACAGTGTTAGGTTAGGTGGCTCTGTCCTTTGCTTTGATCCCGCCTGACATGGGGCTACTGTAGTTAGTTATGCTCTATTCGCAGGATTCCCCCCGACTTTTGATCTTTACTGGTTTTTTGAGTCCCCAGTTATGTATGAAACTATGTAAATTCCCACTAGGATCTTTGAGCCCTGCTTTAATTTTTCCCGGTTCGTTTGAGAATTCTTTCTTCTTGATTCTTTTGCAACCACTTTTTCTACTTTCTCCAAAATAGCCTCCCATGCTCTGATATGCTCCTGTGGCGCTTACAAGCCACAAAATACCTTGCTGTTCTTGAATTCTCACTTGGGTCATTCTAGACTTGCTGTTTGCTGTTTCACGAAATGTTCAAATTTGCTCCTTAAATTCAGCCAGCTAATATTTTGCATTGATTTTATTCTTTAAATCCCCGTACGGCCGCTTCTCAACCAGTTCTTTTAAAGTGTTTTCGGAAATCTGTGTTGGCTTTACCTCCAGCAGTGCTGCTTCTCTGGATTTCCTCCTCTCCCAAGTTATTCCATTTTATTCAGATCTTTGCCTTGGCCACTGAAACTGTCCCCGCCCATCCATCTGTTTCGCATTCCTTGCACCTTCCTTCTATCTTCTACACTAGCAAGCTTCTTTTGCTCTGTTGACTTGGCCACTAAATTATCATCCACTACAATTTCCTTCCCTTTGCCTTTCCTCTCTCACCAACCAGATCCCTGACGTCCTGATTCAGTGTCTCTATGCTCCTCCTCCCTCATTCTGTTGTGTCCTTTGCTCTGCTCGCCCTCCCTTGTCAGAGGGGCAGGTTGAAAGTATATTAACATGGTGGGTGGGATGTCTTGGCCTCTGGTGATTTTTGTCCTTGGAATCATTTGGGAGCATTGCCTTGAGTCTCTTTGACTTTCTCAAGTGCAACCTGACAGCAGACTCCAGAAGGGGCGGTGAGAATCTTGTGGAGCTGTCCCTGGTGATGCTTTTTTACATTTGAGCCTTCTCCCTTCCCCCTCCATTATCTTGATAAGAATTAGTGCCCTCGTATAATTCCTGATCTACTTCCAGATCCAGCAGAGAGTTGGTATAATGGCTCCTATATTTTCAGGGATTTAGAAGCAAGTTATAAATTTCCCTTGCTCACAGCTATCCATCAAAGTGCTAATAGTTATTTAGCATCCATCTTTGGCCCCAATCCTATGATATTATTTATATATATATATATATATATA